TTATGCTCAAAGCTTCTTTTCTGTGAAGTTCCAATAATTTTTTTTCCTAAGATTTTCAAATGAACAAGCATACTTATGTGAGCTGCAAAATGACTTAAGATTTCAAACCTTCTTCCTAATTTAAGATTTTTTACTCATAGATAGATAAATAACAATTTATGCAAATCCCTCTAGAAATTATTTTGCTGTATGAAACAGTCCTCCTTCTGGAATTATAAGAAATAACCAGCTTATACATTTAGTAACCTTGCAGAATATTAATTGTAAATGATGGCTTTATTGAGTTTGTTTTTTCTAAAACTATATATTGTTGCCAACTTAAACCAAAGTATTTCTTGTTTTTACCATGAACAGTTGTATATATCCTACAGACAGATGGCAACTTTCAACAGTAACATAGTTTCACCTATCTTTCCTTGCCTATGATTCCCACAAGCCAGTTTATCTCCCAGAACTTCCTTTAAATTCTAACAAATTTTCCTTAAAACCAATGATATAGAAGAGTTCCCTGTTATTTTTTATGTTATTTGTATAATTTCCTTGGTAGCATACTGTGCTATTATATACTATAAATCTTATTTTATTTTGGAAAGAACTGTCAGTGATGTTATTTTTAGGTACAACTCTATTTCTGGTGATATCCAACCCAGCGAAGAAAATAGCCAGAAGAACAGTTAAAATCTCACATACAGTATTGGGATTACATCCATATTATGAATGCTACAGGAGCAGCAGCACTATATGACTAAATAGATACACCCCTGAATAAAGAGAATGTGCCCTGAACATACGTGTAGGTGCACTTTTACATTCTAGAGAAATGAGAAGTTGGGTTTACTTTTTTAAGCATTATTTCTGCGGCCTTTTTCAGACCAAGTAAATTGCCACAAATTGCATTTAGATGACATTTCAGCCTAGTTGCAGTCAGATGCATTGGAAAGTTCAGAATCTGATACCAACATGATTTCAAAGGCATGATACATCACACTGAAGCCTGTAGCTTCTATTTTTTTTCAAAGACCAAGAGTATACTTTTCTTTTACAGAACTGTTATTACATAACCTAACGCTGAACGTAGAAATGGGAAATTTAACCTTAGAAAATTGTCTATTTTCTTTGCTTCATGCTTTAAAACAGTCATAACTGAGCAGTTAAAAATGGACCAGTAGACATCAGTAGAACTGATCAACTATTTTTACTGGGGTACCCAGTCATTTAGATGGTAAATAAGGGATATTTGATCAATGAACCAGCAATGTGGCATCTGGTGTGCAGTTTCACAGTCTTAGGGCCTCATTCTTATCTCTCTGATACCAGCATAAATCAGGAGTATCTTATGTAAATTAAAAGCACGCACCAAAGTGGTGTGGAGTCAGAATGAAGCACCTTGTGTTCCAATCTGTTTCATTCAGTATCTCATGTCTGACTTAAGAGATTGGCTCACTTACAGAGCTCTACATTAGACATATTGCCTTCTTGTTTTAAAATATGTATGTTTAATATTTAATTTAACAGAATTCCATATTCCAGTCTCTGTGTACTGTGGAAGTCCCTTTGAGGCTTGTGGTTTGTATGTGCAGTTGCGATTCTCCTCAAGTGTAATTTGGAAGCACCATTGCCTAATGGGGTGAAAGGAAGTATCTGTCTCCAATTAATCTTGGCTCTCTTTTGAGTGAGTAATGAAAATACTGCCAAGCCAGTAGTGATTTGTAAAGTGGGCTGTAGGAGCTGAGCCAGGCTCACCAAAACACGTTTAATATAGTATGTGTGTCAGTAGAGGTACAGGTCTCATCAATTGTCTGCACGCTGCAAATATGCACAGCTAATTTAGACTACCGCCTTCAAATGACCACACACTCAAATATTTGGCCAACTCTGAAACATTGTTTATAATGCTACACATAACTGTTACTGCACATGAAACTGTGTAAGTATCATAAAATAGGTAGTGTAAAGGTAAATTGAGCCTTTCATTTTCACAGAAATATAAAAATTATTTTCATTACATTATGCTGTACAACATTGCATAATATATGCTGAGATGACAGGCACATCAATAATACGCAAAAAACTAATTTCACAATTTTAAAAAATGCTCACAGATTTTGAACTTATGATCTGTTGGGACAAACCATAGAGATTTTGAAGTTACCTAAGGCCAACAATGGCAGAATGAAAATGACAGTTTAAATGGTACCTGGGTGACGATCATAGCTAGCTTGCAGGAGAAACTATTTTCAAGCCCATTTGGCACATCTAGACTACAGGATAGCTCCCTGAAGTAAAGAATATAAACATTAAAAGGTCAGAAATAGAACAGCTAAGTTATCCATTCACACCGGCAATGGGAATCTTTGCCATTTGGCTCTGAACCACTTTGCCATTCTGCATCCTAATGACAATTACATGTCCCACACTGATATTTCTCTTTCAATTTTCATAGAATTAATGAAAGTATTTAAGGAGTTAATGGAGGCATAGTACTTTCTTTAGAGAAAATATGAAATTAGATTAGAAATTAGATTGCCTTGAAAACATTACATGCAGCAAAATGAGCACTCAGAAAGCCTTCAGGAATAATCATCTAAGCATGGTTTCTTGTGACTCGCATTTTACTGTTCCGTGAGAAAGAAAAATAAAAAAAACCCCGAAGATCTGCGGCAAGATTCTGTTGTCTCCAAGAGGCACAGCTCAAAACTTCGTAATCCAGGAGAGGCGAAATTGTTTCAAACCATTCTCCATCTTCACAATTGCAAACTGCTGCAGGGAGCTGTAAAATTCCCCTGGAATGAACCAGAGTGCATCGGTGCCTAAGTGGCAGCTCGACAGATCTGCTGCAGCCTTCCCCCAACATGCCGCCCTGCTTCAGCCCCGTGCCCAGCATGGGGACTCCAGAGTTTGTCCTCAGACGGCATCTTTAAGTTACCTTTCACCATGTGCTACCAGGGGTATCGGCCCTTTGCCAGGAATAGAGCTTTTAAGGGTCTCTTTATGCCAGTCTGATTCCTCGTATCTTACATAAGGGGCCAGAGCAGGGATGGAGCTCGCTTTCTGAGCTCTAAATCTATCCTATATGGCACGCAATTCTCTAAAGTACAGCCAGCTTCTGCTTTGATGAAGCACTGTGCAGTGAAGACTGAAGGATCCTGTTTTTCACCATTTAAAGATGTATGATAGCAACAAAGCTCTATGTTAAAATATTTAACTCGCAGAGAACTTATGGAAATTGTCTATTCAAGCTCAGCAAAGACATTAAATTACCAAGCTGTTCTAGGACAGTTGTGTGTGGAGAAAAGCCAGAAATGCTCTGAGATTGTAACGTTACTTACAAAGATTACAGCGCGAGCCTGATTCAGAAGCTTTTTATACAGATCAGCATGGTGAGCTGCAAAATGTTACCATATCAATTTCTGCAAAACATACTGTGTGTGTACATATAGATATAAAATCGGGACTTATACACAGCACATTTCCTGCCACATTTTGAATGGCATCTGTTTGTTTAGTTTGCTGAAATAGGAAAAATAATATTTAGCGACTACTGGTAACACAATATTAACAAGATATAAGACTATAACTCTGTCTGTCAAAATGCAGATAAAAGACAAATCCTCCTATCTCAGTGTTTTAATCAGCCAGATCAGGGGTTTGATGAATATGCAAATGTGACTGTTTATACACTATTTTCAGAGTGAAAGGAAACAAATTCAGTTTCATTATAGAATTAATGACAGCTCTGTCCTCTAAGATTAATAATTAAAACCCCATACACATTAAAATGATAGTGCTCCTTCCTCCCACCCTCTGAAGATTTTACTTTTCTATTTTTTTAATACCCCTTTCCCTTACAATTGTTTGTCCCTCTAATTGGAATGATTAATAATTAATACCAGTTCAGGAATATGTAATAGTCATCTTTAGAACAAGAACTGTACTTAACTGACAAAAAGGGTTAAAAAACGCTTTCTTTTGTTAATTCTGTTTTTACTCTTCTCCGTAACTTAATTTTTTCCTCCAAGTTTTATGTCACCATAGGGATCCCAACGGCCTGCTCTAATGCTGGAAGCCTTTTATTTATTCCAGTGCAGACTATACATACGATTTCATTATGGTTTTCACAATATATGCTGGGATCCTTTTTAAAGCCCTAGCTCCTGGGATCAGCAGCCTTCATAGGAATTGTAGCTCTTTTTTCTCCTGACACACACACTAAAAGTTTAGACCAAATCAAATCTCAGAGAAAAGATGAAGAATGTGGGACACGTGCACTATAAAGCTTGAGAACACAGAAGGAAAAAGAACAACCCAAGATTTCTGCTATTATTTTTTTAATCTGATGATTTCTGAGTTGATATGGGAGTGGCTGAGTCATGCTTTCCAAAACCTCAGGACAGGCAACATTTCAGAGAAATGTTATAGTGAAGTGAGCAGCAGTTCACCCTTACCATTAACCCTCCTTCCTGCACCAGAACTATCACATTTCATTTTCATGTGGCCACTAGGATCTATACTGAGACCACTAAACCCCTTTTAATTTCAAATTATTAAAGCAGACATTTTAAGAGTAAATAAAACAGGTAGCTTGTGTATGTTTTGCATTACTTTACCAAGAAAAGCTACACTCTAGTTCCAAAGATGCATATTTTCATCTGAGCAGAAAAGCTCTTCCAGAAAGACAAATGGACAGAGTCCTCTAAAAATCACATTTCTTCAATAAAGCTGTTTCAATTTCATCTTTTAATGTCTTTAGAGGTAAATTGATCTTACATGGGAATTTAGCATTGCCTTGCATATCGCAAAGGAAATATTTTATGTGAAATTAAATTAGCATTTGTCTATATTTCACCATGCAGGTACACTACCTCATGGTCGTTGATAGCAGTAAAACAATTATGTGCGTGTGTGTTCTTTAGCAGGGGTGATGGATGATATTCTGTAAGCATTTAAGGTTAGACATTCATAATGAAGCCTGCTAGTTGGCAAGCATGCCTATTACTTACCACGCTGAGTCCTAGCAATTCTCTGCAAAAGTAGTCCATGTTCCTCCTTTGTAGGTTGTCAAGATAGTGCTGAAGGCGAGTATAGGTGTAGGGGTAACAGTAGGCAAACTGGTAAGTGTCGTCCTCTCGGTCAAAGCAAAAAGCAAATGACATGACATAGTTCTTCCTGTGGTCTGGGCAGCGATAGTAATAAACATTTTTAGAGGGTATTCTTTGCCTAAAAAACAAAAACAACATATATATGCATTGACATATATATACACTGACATAAGAAATCTGAAAAAAACCCAACAGCTGTGTGAGATTCAAATTTCCTCTAAAGCAAATGTAATGTAACAGCTTGAATGGCTCAGGAGCTGGCGAGCAGATCCCAGAGCCTGCGTTTCGGCACACTCATGCAGACAACCTCCACGCCAGGGGCCCAGGCGCAGCAGAGCTACCGTGCCGGTGCACCGGTCGCCACAGGGACTGCAGCTCTCTCCAGGTGCCCAGGCTGGCAGAGTCACTGTAGCTGGGGAGAGCATCACACAACCAGAGAAACCCACTCCCAAGAAGTGAAAAGGATGCACAGGCAGTTAAGCTATCCTATGCTTTGCTATCCAGCTGGTGCAACCGCATACCACTCCACAGGCTTCAGCCAAACCTCTGGCTGGAGTGTGGCTACATCCTTTCATACAGGCCTAAATCACCAGCGCAGAGGCAAGGCATAAGTAATGAAGGACTGTCAGTATAAGGCAACATTGCCAGAACTGTTACTGAAATTCAGGACATCTTTATATTTCTATTATCCTTAAGAGTCAGGGGATATATCAACACCTAGCCCATGAATGGAGGAAAAGATACATTTTTGAGGTGAAAAAAAAAAAAACCAACAAAACCCAGAAAACTACTTCAGGTATGGAAAACAGCCTGGTCCTAAACTAGAAAACAAAGGAGAAAAGGGTATTTGGTCCTGTTCCAATTTGGATCGCTGCCCTCCTTGAGAGTTCTGGCTTAGAGCGCTGACAAGATAAAAATGAATATACATGATGGTAAATAATTATAATAGAGACATTTATGTCATTGTTATCAAGCTGGTATCTGTTTAAGGAATAACAAATATCTGCCTGACATCTTTCACCCAACTTCAATTATTCTGTTATTTCTCAACAGAAATGAGTAACCTTTCAGAGGTGGGTCAAACACTTGTTCTATGGACTAAAGATGTTCAATATTTCTCTTTGTACTCTTTCTTCATTTCATAGATGGATTTTCTAGCTTTATTTAAACAGGAGATCCTCTAGTCATGCCATACACTTGTAATTTGATGTAACTAACTTACCAGTCATGTTTGGCAACAAAACACTCTGGTTCTGCAGACTCAAACTGATTCAATTACACAACATTATAAACAGGTCTCATCTAACGATTAGAGCAGATCTCAGCTAAACTACAATCATGGTGAGGGAAAACATAATAAGATTTAGAGACATAGCAGTAGTAATGTGCCTCTTTGTAATAGTTCCGAGAAGCTGGTCTACTGCAGAGCATCAGTTGTGGCCTTTCATTGCTAACATGAAATAGAGGACAAAACCCGCTCATTATGCAGAAGTACGTGTTTGCCAATTAGCAGCAGTTGAGGAGTCTGATCAGCAAGACTCAGGAGCTACAAAGAGAAACAGAAAGGAATTGAGATGTTCTTGAAAAAGTACAATAGAAAGCCAGTGATGCAGTTAATTAGAGTTGAAATAAGAATTTATTTGCCCCTTTTATTGCCCTGGTTCTTGAATATTCAGGGCTTCAGCATTTTTGGTTAAGAAAGACACTTGCTTATCACTGAGATCTGGAAATGATTTTTAAGTTGCAAATATGAAGGACAGAAAAACAATTATTTTAATTTTTTTTTTAAAAGTATCAGTAGGGGGAAGATGCCACCAGCTGTCTGCATGCAGTACCCTAACCTAATAGGGTTCTCCAGTATCTTAACATATTCCTATCATTTACCCTTACTCTGGAGTGCTATAGGACATCCCTCATTTGATCTCAAATCAAGCAGATGATATGGCAGTGGGTAAATGTATTCTAGCTCCCAGTCCTCAAACCATAATGCAAGTTTAAACAGTATGTTGCTGAGTTGTTGAACTTTATTTGTTTCCAAATTAGCATGGGAGAAATAATAAAGGACAAGCTTCACTTTATGCTATAAAAATTTCATGTAAAATGAGACCAATAGGAGGAAATTCAGGATTTTAGAAAGGCTAATGCTAATTGAAATTCATCTGCTGATAGTTAATGTTTAAATGACACATAGTTCTCCTTGGTTCAATAACTTTCTACTTTTAAGCAAGTTGAAGACAACTTTGTTAATGTATTAAAGGCACTTTTGATATTTCATTCCCTTTCCCCTTCATTACAGAAGCTAAGCATCTGTTTTATTATCCACTTTGACACATCACTTTATGGCTGCATTTGGCTATTATGGCTAATCTTGATTTCTAGGACATCTGGTATTGACATTTCACTATCTGGTGTCTGACACAACAGCAGAAACCATCCTCAGTTCCTAGGTTTAAATTCACCCTCTCAGGGCAGAAAGTGCCCAAACTCTTAATTCAAACCATATCTTCCAAAAATAATTATAATAGTACTCCTGTCACTGCTAATCTATTTTTATCTCTCCTAGCACTTTGTCACTGCTAATCTATTTGTGAGTCATATAGAGAAAGAGAGTTAGTGTTTAGATACCAACAACACAGCTTACACACAGGAGCCTAATCAGATTGAGATCTTATCAGAGAATTAAAGAAAAAAAAAAAAAAGAAGAAAAGGGAAAGAAAAAGAAAGAAAAGAGACACAGTGCTAGATATCACCAACTGAGTTTTTGATAACGAAAAGACATTGCTCAGTTCTTGAATTAACCTTTGTGTCCTAGACGCACTATTGTTTACTCTTTCCTTATGCCTTCTGGAAAAGGACACCCACCCACTGTGGAAGCATCTGCTCCTATTAATTTAAAGCTATTACAAAAATTAAAATTAAACCCAATTACTTTGGCTGGTTTATAGCCGGGGAAAGGCTTAGTCTGATTGTTCCCTCTGGTTATGGACAAAAACAATATTCCTACCTACAGGCAGCTGCCAGTGGAATACTAATGCATCTAGGGCCTGGCAGGGACAGATTCAGAATGCAGAGTCTAACTGCATTTCTTAGTAGAGAAAAATATCTTATCATGGATCTGCAGAAATGCCCCAACTTCTTACACGGTAAGTCACAATGAAGCTGATTTGTAGTTAGAGGTAGGAAAGCAAAATGACGGTAGAAAGCTTAATGCTCAGATTTGTCATTTTGCATTTCCAGGCAGCTCACACGAAGAAACGCACCCTGCTAATTGATACACAACTGCCTGGATTTCAGCACTTCTGAATGGTTATTTAAAGGACAACCACCCCAATTCTAAGTACAGCCACAGAGCATAACACGCAAGCAACTCATTTCCAGTCTGTTCTTAGAAATATATTTACAAAAATCAATCTTGATATCTTACATCATTTTGAAACAAATTCAGACTGCCTATCTTAAAGATAAATGCAAAATTCTTTCTGTCAAAGGAAGAAGGAAGCACAGAAACAAAGATTTTCTCACTATTTTGACTCTCATAGTCCAGTGCCAAAAGCTTGAGCCAGTGGGTTTGAGTGTCTTCTCCTCCTCTCTGACAAGGTAGCACTCCCAACCCAGCAGATTTCTTACTCCAAGCGCCAATGCACATGTGCTTGTCTGTTCCCATACGTTTGTTACGCTGCAGTCTGGAGTCAGGACATTTACCCTGTTTTGGTAGCACGCAATAAGATCAAATTTGTCAGTTTACAAAAAAAAAAAAATTGGAGTCGTCATTCAGTCCCAAAAATCTGACAAACTTCAGAGGCCCCAGGATTTTACTCTTTGCTACTACAACAGGCTATGAGGGGTAGTACACATAACTGAGCTTTGAAGATTTTATCCTAACTATAATTCTATTTTGAACTTAATCAAAATTTCAACTCTAATAATTTTGATCTTAAAGGCAAACTTTATTATCTGTTCTGCTTTTTTTTTGTCTCTGTTACCATATTTCCCCTTGAAAATTGGGAGTTAATCGAGACTTTTGGGGAACAAACATGGGGAGGTAGCGGGGGTGCTGGTGTGTGGCATTTTAAGCACATAAGGGTGCTAATCAAATCCTTTTGTGGCACCACAACACAAATAATTAGAAAATAACAATATTTGGAGCGCTTTTCCCCCCTTATTGCGTGACCAAAGCAGGGAGCGCCTGCCCAGCCAAATTCCCAATGACTTTAATGAGCAGCCTAAACAGTCTTTGGACCGCTTTTAATATGGCACTCATGATGTAATTATTCAGTTCCTTGCCTCTACAGGATTGGGTTAGACACATCACAGTCAGTAGACTTCTAAGTAAAATGATGATCTTTGGAGGAAAAACAAAAAGCTGCAGGTGCTGTAAAAGACCAATGGCCAAAAGAAAAATTAAATTATCTGACTTGTAGAGAAATGCTCAAGAGAATCTGATCTCAATGTAGTGTTAGCTGTGGTGACGCACTGTGATGATCGTTTTCAATTGCCATCAGTTTGCAGATGGAGGGATACAACTTCACAATTTTACAAATTTCCATGCTTGCATATATAATTCAAAGGGGCGGGCCTGAGTCACAATCTGAGAGGAAATGATACCTAAGTGTTAAAGACATTTGAAGCACAAAACCTGGTTCCAGTTCAGCTTTGGAAAATAACCATCAGGTACTTGTTGACACCATCCAAAACACTCGATCTAGCTATTCCTTCTGAGCCTTCAAATTTTGTTCATAAAGCTAGGTGTCCCTACTTCCTAAGTGCAAGAAATCCAACTAATTCTGGAGAAAATATACGGAAGTTAATGATGCACTGCCCACTCCTCTTCTGGGAGGCAGCCCTTGCAAACTGCAGGCCTTCCTGACTTGTTTCTCTGTTAGTCTAAGCCATTATTTTTCTTCTTGCTTATTCTTGTTGACAAGTGGAGCTGACCGTCTTCAAAATTCCTAGCTTCCTTGTGACAAAATAAGTTTGTAGGCTTTTTTTTCTTGCACATAATTTTGTATTTTATTCACAGAGCATGGAGTGACAGTGACTATGTCAGATGGTGTTAAATATTGTTTATGGAGAACTCAATGAGTTTTGGCACAGCCAACTCAGTTTCAGACACTGCAA